GGGGGGGGGGGGGCAGCAGGCCAGGGAGACACAGAGCAAAGACGCGGAGGACCCGGGTGGCGGGACCGCCCAGACGCACCGCAGTCCCACCGCCCGGGTCCTCTGCGGTTTTGCTCCGCGTCTCCCTGGTCTGACCAGCAGACCAAGGAGACGGGGAGCAGCTTTTCTCGCCCCGGAGAATGCGGGCGGCAGGACCGCGGCTCATCTGGGCGTCCCGCCGCTCTCGTCCTCCGGGGCGAGAAAAGCCCCGTTCGTAACTGCGGATCCGACATAAGTCGGATCCGCGTAACTCAGGGACTGCCTGTAATTTAAACCAGGACTAACTAGATACCTTCAGGCACAGTTTTAAGTTATGTGAAAATAAAGAGAGAATCCAATCTCCCCCTCCCCCCCCCCCAAGTTACAAAAGCATAAAGAATAAGAGTACCTAGAATTTGCAGGATGTGCCGACAGAACCACAGTAGCACTTTGAATGCAGAGGGAGCGCACAACTCTTGCAGTCCATGTTGTGTGCAATAAGCACACACCTCACTTAATGTGCCCTTGTTTTAAGTGCGTGTCACTATAATAATACTAGTAGGAAAGAAACTATGTAGATGGAAACCAGTGGAATCATTGACAACAGTAAACAAAATGTCTCATAGGCCACATGTGGCCCAGAGGCCTCATTTTGTTCTATATCCCAGGTCAACAAGGCACGTGACTGCCTTTCACCTGTCAGAGGGCACTGGGACAAGGCAGTAATTATTTTTCCACAAAGCATGTGTTCTCTTTCATATTTAGAGATTCCCATCATCTGCAGAGTTTTCTTTTTTTAATAAATTCTAAGGACAAAATGTTCAGTGCCCCTTTCTCCTACATATTCTATATTTACTTTGCATATGTGGAACAGGAGTTCCACATACAAAGGAGAGCTATGCTGCAGACAGGAGAGGGAGATTTTGTTGTAACTGTGGGCTACATTCTGCAATTAGAAATGTGCAACTTCCACTGAATGAGATTCCGCTCTGAATTACATGGTACAACTCCCACGGAAAACTGTAAAATGGATACTATGCATATTAGACTCATCTTACTGCTGCCATCAGGTATTATTGTAAAAATAAAGAGTCCCATGGGAGTTGAATTCATGTAGCTGAGGAAAGAATTTGACCATTGACATCAATGAAGTTTGCATTATCCTTTACTATTTGTTTCACTATAATTCCAGTCAGAATCAGGGCCCCATTGTGTTATGCACTGCACACAATATGTGGGTAGGCACAATCCCTGCACTGAAGAAATCTGGAAATGAGATGTACTGACCATAAAAAAAACAAAAGAAAGATGGACACTGGGAGGTAGGATGAGGGTGACAGTAACAATATCACATAGACAGACAGCTGGATGATAACCGATCATTCCAGATACTTCTATTTATATTTTAGCCAAAATAAAATCAACTATTCTCAACTGCCATGCCCTTATTCATCACTGTCTGATTTCATGGAATAACCTACCAGAACTGAGTCTGGGTGGTTAAGAGGAATCTGAAGCAACAGATGATAGCAGCCTTATGGATTAATTCCAAGACTGCACTTTGTGCATAGTTCCATGCACAAAAATGTTACCATCAGTAAATATGAAAAAGTAGCCAGCCAAGACCAATCCTCTCTCTTCTCTTCCCTCCCCTGACAACTGAGCTCTTAAAGATTGCAAGTATTTGGGATTTGCTCTCTCCAGTTTATCTGAGTTGTATACCTCCTGATAAGGGTTAAAAGCAGAAACTAGTCACACTAGTTTGCTTGTCAAGAACAAGTCAATGAGAGAACAGTGTAAAGGCTTACACAAGTAATTAAATGCATCACTGAGGTTTATTATGCAGAAAGAGAAATACTGAAATATTTTGGGAATCCCTGTGATTACTATACATAGATGAAAGATTGTATGGAGCAACCTTACCATCCTTCAAACCATACCGTGGAGAGGTAAAAAGCTTTCTGAAATATTCTTTTGCACAATAGAAATGACAGAATCAAAGAATTCAAAAAGCCTTTTTGAACATGACCAAGGTGAGGTAATTCCTGGAAAATACTTGCCATTTGGTGCAATGTGGTCTATTTTATAAGCATCTTCCAGAAAAGGACATTCCACCCACCCTTGTGTTTTATCCCTCTTCTCTGCAAATTATTCTGTTCAAACTATGGAAATATATCCATACATATTCATGAGTTAATTTTGCATTGTAATCATTCTGCATAATAATAATTCTATTCATCTTCTCTCTCAGGGCAAAAGCCTTTCTTGATGGGTAAATAAAATTTTTTAAAATTAATTAGATCATGATGATAAAAGAAAATATGTATCTACGCTGATAATATGTTATGACAATTTTGTAAGGCTGCATCAGTGATCAGTTCAAAACAGAGCCAAAAAGGGGAGTAACTAAGCATATGCCAAATCTCAAACTTCTCAAAAGCAAATCTGACATGACAAAATTTCCAAACTTGTTTCTCCACAAAGCCAACATTATCCATCTGTCATGACATGCTCTAAGGAGGTCAAAGAGCGCATCATTGACCTAAGTAAGTAGTTAGCCTGCATTTCTGTAACAAGGGCCTCCCTTTAGATCATGAGGCCCACAGCCAAAGGAACCTGCCTTAAACATCACCTAGGCTGTGTCCAGACTCAGGGGTTTTTTCGGGAAAAGTAGCCTTTTTTCGAAAAAACTTCCCCTGCGTCCAGACTCAAGCCGCGTTCTTTCGAAATTAAATCGAAAGAACGCGGCTTTTCTTTCGATGGCGGTAAACCTCATTTCACGAGGAAGAACGCCTTCTTTCGAAAGTTCCTCTTTCGAAAGAAGGCGTTCTTCAATGTAAATAGGGCTTCTTCGAAAGACAGCATCCAGACTCACTGGATGCTTTCTTTCGAAAAAGCACGCCGCTTTTTCGAAAGTTCAACGTGCAGTCTAGACGCTCTCTTTAGTATCTTTCGAAAGAGCCTCTTTCGAAAGAGGCTTGCAGTCTAGACATAGCCCTAGAGAGGGCAAGTAAGTGAGAGAGACTGATTGTCAGGGAGAAATTTCCCATTAAAAACATTTTCAGATGTTTGAAATGTTCCTAAGACCCCACATTTTTCTGAGTTCTCCTCCCTCCCATTATGAAAGAGATACTCCTTCCTCTCAGAAGGCCACACTGAGTTACCTTGAACACATGGAAAGCCTCAAACTGAATGTTAGGGCTTTTATCTCGCAGCAGGTTCATCATTAGCTTTAGGTTCTCTGGCTTGCTGATGTATTTTGTCATGATGGCAAAGTTGTGTCGGTCCAGAATCAGTTCACCCAGAAGCTACAAGAACATTTACAAAAACAAAGGCTTTATAATTCACCACTGAATTTATGATTCAGATGAAAGCACCACATTTTTATCTTCACTCCCAGAGGTTTCATATATTCTTATGGCTTCAAAAATGGAGGGGCTTTAAAACAATTGAGGTGAATTTGCTGTTCATGTAAGGTAGGTAACTGTCCAACAGCACTGATTATCCAGATATGGCAGATATGGAGACCACATTAATGCATATGGTAACAAATGGCTTGAGCCAGATAAAATAAAATCAAGTACAGTAAAACTCCGATGGTCCTGCGCTCCTGATGGTCCGGCACCATCAGGAACTCGGAAGTGCTCCAGGCAGCCAGACTATTGGAGCTGCTCTGCCCCCAGCTTCCCGGATTCAGCCGCTGCTAAAACTGACAAGTGGCTGACTTCAGGAAGCCTGGGGCAGAGCAGCTCTGCCTTGGGCTTCCTGGAGTCAGCCGCTGATCAGTTTCAGCAGCAGCTGACTTGGGGACACCTGGGGTAGAGCAGCTAGGGTGCTGCCGGGTTGGTCCAGTAGCGCCGCTCCTCAGCGCTGTGGGACCAACTCGGCAGCCCCCCAGCTGCTCTACCCCAGGCATCGGCGAGAAAAGCCTGGTCTGCTCGGGGGGGGGGGGGCCCCGCCGGCGCCCCCCC